CATGCGTCTGGAAGACTCATGAAACGGACACGTTATACTTCTCAGACGAATAATACGAGACGCATAAAACGAACTAACTTGACTGAATTGGAAATCTACCCCACTCCCCATAACATTTTTTTCTTGTTTGCCTCGTGCCCTAATCGTTCACAAGCTGCTTGTGCTCTCGAATAGGAAACAACTGCTAAGAAGGCTATACGATTTTAAAGAAGCACGTGATACATGCGATTAAATTGAAGTTTTTCAAAAATGGTAGGCATTTTGGCCGTACTTACCTAAGAAGACTGGGAATAAAGCGTTTTAGGCGGATAATGCGTTTAGTTAATACGGAAATAGGCGGCATTAAACGACAGATGAACTCTGAACAATTTTATGCGTCTGAAAGACGCGTGAAACGGAGACGTTATTCCACTAGTTTAAAAATACAAGGCAAATAAAACAAACCAACTTCACTGAATTGGAAATGTACTCAATCCGTAATTAAGCAACCAACGATCTCTCTCGCAAGAACTTTGTTTGTCAAAAAGAACAAGAGTTTAATGTGTGTCGTATTTACCTAGACGCACTTAATTTTCGACACATTATGCGCCTGAGACATATTATTCGTCTTCTTGGTAAATGCGGCCGTTGAGAGCAAAAAGGACTCTTCGTCATTCTGATGGCCTCTTCATATGAGCCCGGTAACCGGGCTGGCTCGGTTGCCGGGTCCAATTTTGTGGTCTGTTCATATGGGAAATTTCAGCCCGGTCGACCGGGATGAAATCCAAAAAACACAACCAAAATGGTGAAACATAAACTTGCATCGTCGTGGCTTTTTGGATTCTTGTAACTTTACTATAAAAACTAATTCGCATACTCCTAAAATGGAGATACACTAAAGACAAAAATTATCCATTTTGGCCGCTATGTTGCGAAAGCGAAGCTATTTTGTCTAAAAAGTTTCGTCCCGGTCACCCGGCTGAAGTTTTCATATGAGAAATTTTCATCCCGGTTGCTGAGATCTCGGTCGCAAAAACCGAGATCTCGGTGACCGGGTCAGCCCGTCTTCTCATATGAACACGTCGAAAATTTCACGAAGGAAAGAGTGGCAAGGAGAGATCTCGGAAACCGAGCCAGCCCGGTTGACCGGGCTCATATGAAGAGGCCCTGATTAACGGTAATGATGATAATTTATTTTATACATCGCCTTTTGCCAAGGAACCTCGGAAAATTCAGTTTTTGAAGAGTAACCTATTAAATCGTAAAAATTACAATTTCCTCGATTGTGATTGGTTTAAAAAA